ACACAACTCCGGTATTGTCCGCGATATAAAGCTGTTCAGTGTCCCGCCCTGCCACAAGGGCCAGTCCTGTCCTCTGTGAACGATTCAAATATTAATTTTGAGAGCACTAGAAGTCACTCACACACAGACTGAACACATTCCCCCATTCGATGTGCGGAGAAAGGAATAGAGAAGAATATTTTGATGGGTTTTGTTTGTTCTAAATCTGATGGCTGGTTCTTCTTGCTCTTCGAGGAAGCTGATTTGGGGATATTCAAAGCCGAGACCCAGAGCCCCTCTCCTGGGTCAAGCGAGCTAGTCCAAGAAGTCACAGATGCACGGCTGCCAGGATGCGTCACCTGTTTGGGTTTAGAAGCAGGACTCCTGGGGGATGGCTTTTCACTCACATCACCCGAGTTTATGGCCCTTCGATAACGAGATGAGCTATTTTTACACGTTTTCACCCATGTCCTTCTGATCAGAGTCTCTTTATTAAAATCATTATTTCATTTAAAATTAGCAACCCAAGTTACTCGGCGAAGGAGAAAGATGAAGATAAACAGATAGACTGGTGAACAGATAGAAATTCTGAACCTGGAGTAGGGCCATACACGCTGCTTCCCAAATTAAAGCCATCATTTGTTCTTAGCAAAAGTTCAAACATAAAAAAAATGGCCGTGTCCAATTTAAACAAATTTTGCCCACATTTCTGCTATCCTGTGAACAAACCACTTTTATTTCTCCATGTTCCCATTGGCTTTCCATTTACATATGTCATGTTTTAACAGCATGCTGACAATCCTACGGCTATGACATCATATTCTTTTCCACGTTCCTAATTACTTATCAACTTTGCCGCCTTTCGCAAATAGGTAATATTCCATTATATCAACATTTCATGATCTGTTTGCCTGCTGCCTGTTGCTAAACCTTCAGGTTATTTGCAGTTTTTCATGACCATAAATAACACTGCTATAAATATGTCCATACATACACCATTTCTTGTTTTAAATTACTTCCTTGAAATAAATTCCAGAGAATGAGATTACGGGGTCAAAGAGTACAAGCATTTTGATGACCTTTGACCTGCATTGATTGCCAAATGCCCTCAAAAGGCATTGTACCAGTTCTCAAAGAATGAAATATCTGCTTCCCCCATGGTCTCATCAGCATTGAGTTATAGAATTTTTCCTGTACTTTTGTTTCTTCAGTCTCAATTGACTGAGATTAAATGATATGCCCACGGGGGTAGAGTCCTAAGTAGCTATGCCAGTCATTGATTGCTTAATAATGTTGAGGACGTGACAGAAACGAAGAGAAAACAGAGAAGAAAGATGGAATCAAAGACTTGCTTAGTGGTGCTAAATGCCTTTGTATATTAAGGCTAAGCTTCACGACGGACAACAAAGAAATTAGTCCTGAACAGCCAGAATCGTATCCGAACACCAGAGTCAGATAACTTTGTTTTCATTTTATAAATACAGTTGCACACTCACAAAGCCCTAAACATTAAGATTAAGACTAAGGGACATGAATGTTCACTTATTCACTTATTTTATCAATGCCCCAAGCACTGATGTCGAACAGCAGAGATTTTACTCTATGTGACCTCTTGCAAAGACTTTCAATTATTTCCCAGTGGCTTTTCTGTTTTTTCCCGTGTCTCAAGCTAGCTTGAATAGGGAGAGAAAAAGATAAAGGAGGGAAAGCAAAATGACAAGGGCAAGAGAGTTGAATCTGTTATAAATTTTGCATTAGGCCTGGCTCTGTTTTATGGAAATACTGTGCACACATAGAAATGAGTGACTCATCTGTGTCCGTGCACTTTGTCTTGGTTCAAACAAAAATCCCCGACTATCCTTGAGTTCCTTGCGACCAACCCAGCTCAATGTTGTTCCTTCTTAAAAATATGCCTTAGGACTTCTGTGACACGGCGGCTCATACAGAGTGGACATACTATTAAAATCCACGACTGAGTCGAATGTGTCCGGTTTATAGACCGCTGAGTGCATGCAGTGGATGATCTAAAAAAATGTGCCAGTATCATGGAAGCATTTCCGTTGTTATTTGGGGAGTGAATCTGCTTCATCGGGGTGGTCAAACCTTCTCTCCTCAGCCCCACCACGTCACAGACACTCGGCGTTTGTAGCTGGGAGGGCATGAGAAGCAAGAACATGCAGATTCAATAGTTTAAGGCCTCACCCATAGTGATCATGGAAAAGTATAAACCAGGAAGCACGGGGTGGGGGGGGGTGGTTAGCTCAACTAACGTTAGTCAGTTACATCCATCCCCACCTCCCATCACAGCCTCCCAGGAAGAAAAGAGCCCGAATGGAGCCTGGAGTCATCAGAACGGGGAGATGCATTTTTATTCCCCATTAGATCCGAGGGCGGATGGATCAGCATGAGCTCTCATGCCTGGACTGGGTCACTGCGGACTTCCACGTGGCTGTGAACTGCCACAGTCTTGCATGCGGCTGGGCTATGTCACTGATGGTGATCCCCAGTTGGGGAAAGGCTGGGCTCCAGCTGGTGTCCTCCAGCCCTGCTTGGGGGTTGTGTCTTTCCAGGCACACCAGGGCTGGGTTAGAGGAAGAGTGGGAAGGTCAAGTACGGAGAAGGATGAATGAGAGAAAGGCATGGTAATTTGGCAGAGTGGACCCTTCATTTAGAGTAGGAATTGTGTGAGTGAGGGCCCGAGGACTGGTAAATCGCTTGTTCCTCTCCAAGGAGAAGATCCATCAGTGTCAATGGCCAATTCAGAACATGGCAGCCCAATCGTTTCCCTTCTCCCCCACCCTCTCTCTCCCCATCGCTCTCTCTCTTTCTCTTTTTCTCTCTTCCCGCAAAACTTTTTCATTCCCAGCCCTCTCCCACTTCTTGTTACCTTGAATAATAAAATCCAGGAGAAATGAATGCAGAAGTAGCCTGGCCTGCAGAGATCACTACCTTGGCAAGCAAGACTAAGTTTCCAGGAGGTTCTTCTCCAGACTGTTGGAGTACATGTGAGGTTGACATGTACAGTTGGCTGGAGAGTCATCCAGCCCTGAAGCTGGGTGAGGGGAAAGCTGAAGGAGAAGAGAAGCTCCCCATCCCCCCAAAATCTGCTCTTCCCATCCCCCCTCCAGCAGAAGCAGCCATTCCCTCCTCTATCCTTAGACAGCACATGCACGCAATCCGCTGAATGTTCACCCCTCTGTGTACTGATTTGTTTCTGCATGGTCTTCCCAACCAGGCAGTCCACATATCAGTGTATTGGGGCAGACCCAGGTTCACACCCCAAGTCCGGTCTGCTCATAGCTATGGGACATGGGACAAGTCACTTCACTTCTCTGAGACCTTTGTTTCCTCGTCCATAATGAGTCTGCCTCATTGGCTGTTGTGTGGACCATATGAGCTTCTACAAAATGCTTTGGCCCAAATTTAGTCCTTTGTTCACAGTGTAATTCCCAGCCCTTAGCACAGGAAGCAACAGATAAACGCGCTCATTGAAATACAACTCCACCTACCCGGTGCTTCTCGGGCACCGTGGGTAACATAGGGTTAAGGGTGGGCAGAGTCGCTGGGCACTCTGGGATGAGGAATGCTTTTTCTCAACCTTGAGAAGCACCACAGGAGCCACCTGGTTACAGCAGTTGGTCTCTCTCTAGTACTGACTCCTCATTCCAAGTCCCTTTCATGCCGCACCCCAAAGCAGGGTGGGGAAGAGCAAGCCTTCCCCATGTGAGCCAGCTAACCCTGGGGTTTTATCTTGTGTCATTCATCTGTCCTCTTGTTGTCTCAACACATATTTATTGAGACCCACATGGCTGTGATTACTGCTATGGGTGCTCATGTGGAAATAAGACACAGTCCACCTTGCAGCAACTTAGAGTCCCCGGGACCCCAGTAAGGTTGAGCAGTGCAAAAAGGTTAAAAGTATCCTAGTGAGATCCAGGGGTTTCCCCCTGGGGCTATCAGGGAGGGCTTCACGGAGGAGGTGTACTGTGCAAACGATCAGGACCCAGCTCTATAGATATTGATGTTGACCAAGTTACTCACGTGGGCAGAGGCTGCTTTATGGTGAAGCTAATAAAACTTAAGCTTAACGGACCTTCATTTGCACCACCCCTTCCAAGGCTTGGGAAGGGTCCTACCAACATGTTCACACATTCATGTGTTTTCATGTGCACCTGTTAGATATTTCAATCACAATCAGTTAAGACCACCGTCTCCACGCTAACTGCTCCTTTCCACTTTCCCTGTGTCTGGGGGGTGTTGGAGTGGCTCAGAGCAATTTGGGATGCAACTAAGGGCAGTTTAACCGGGGCAGGGGGTAAGTTTAGTCTAGTGGGATTTACTCGTGTGCTTTGCAGCCCCTTCTCTAGAGAGACGTTGCCGCTAGTCATCCGGGTGTAAACATGGCTTCCGGGAGCGCCCCCCCCCGCCGCCCCCCTGCCGCCTCTGCACACTGGGTGGTGTCCCCCAGCACGGGGACAAGAGATCACAAGATTTGCGGGTCAGAAATCATGAGGCGATATAGACACATCCTTTGCTGCTCAGCCCCAGAATTGGATGGGTGGTGGAAATGTGAACAACAAGAGTTGAAATGTGTAGACCGAGAAGCAGTCTGCGGAGACGTGTCATCATGATGTCCAGCAGTTAATTTTTTTAAAAAGAAATATATATATATATATATAATATATACGGATATATAGAGAGAGACAGATCATATTCTATTTCTGAATTTTGTGCTGTTTATGGTATTTATCAGCCTTTAACTTGTGTAGTTTGTGATTTCTCATTCTAAACAAATACTCTTAATCACCTCTAATTTTGTATTCATACTTTTACAGTCTTTTTCTTATCTCCAGAAGCTGGATCTGCCAAGCCCGGGGTCATTGCTCATCCTGGAGGGCCGGGGAGGAGGGGACCCGGGGCGGCGGCGGGGGACCGGGGGGGGGGAGGTGGCGGGAAGCACACACAGAATTCTAGCTTTGTACTGCATCCCAAAGTGCTGTCCTACAGACCCATCCCTGGGCCGCTGGGGCCCTGGCTCACGCCCCAGCCTCCTGGCCGGAGCCAGTCCCAGAACCCCTCTTCCCTCCTCCCGCCCCAGGGGCGGGGGCAGCAGCTGCTGGGTCCTCGGAGGCGCTGGGATCCGACAGCCCGGTACCTGGGAGCCAGGGCCTGCCCAGCGGCCTTCCTTCCTGGCCAACAGCTGCCTGCGTGCAGCCTCTCTCCCGAGGATCTGGGTGGCCATTCATGACGGGCCTCCTCTTGGAAAGGCAAAGAAGGTGGCATTATAACTAGGTAAAGCTTATCGTTTGCATCTGCCAAGATCCACGCATTTCCCCTGCCTCCCTCCCCCAGCCCCCAGCCCCCGCCTCCCCTCTTCCTTCACCCCTCTCTGGTGGGTTTTCAATAGTGGGCGCTTTTTTTCTTTCTCCTTTCTTTCTGGTCAAGACAGGGTTGTCTCTCTGGGTGGAAAAAGGCAGTGTGTTCGTGAAGCACAGCTGCGTTTCAAAGGTGCTTTGTTGGCGAGTTATGAATTTGCCTTTGCTAATGTGGGGAAACAGGGAGATTCTTTGGCCTTTCCCCCCCCCATACTGAAATTGATGTTATTTCTTTGCCAGTGGCACCCAAGGAAATGTTTTGTCCCATTTCCTCCCCTTTCAGGCTGAGCCCTATTTATGTTCGGAGCTGGGGCTCTGCCATTGAGAATCATTGTCATTACCACCAGCGTCTGAAGCTGGCCAAATCCAGCAGCTGTGGTCTCATGCCTACCCTCACCCAGGTTTATTTCCTTGACAACATGTACTTGTTTGGACCAACTTTCTTAGTCTTGCCCTTGGTGTGTTTTTTTCTTTCTTTCTTTCTTTTTTTTTCTTTTTCCCTCCCCCTCCTTTCTGAAATCTGCCTTACAGTTTCATGGGGCTTAAAATTAAAAAAAGGAAAAAGTGTGTGTGTGTGTGTGTGTGTGTGTGAGAGAGAGAGAGAGAGAGAGATTGAGAGTTGGGGGCAATGAGCAGGGGATTGGAAAGAAGATGAAGACTCTGGGAACCTGAGGAAGGTTTCGGGGGGCCAGAGCAAGGGGCGAGCGGTGGGAGGTTTTCAACATAAACGACAGCATCAAATTCGTTATGATTGGGATGGTCACCAGTCTTCTCCACCCCCAAGCTGCACAAGACTCGCCCTGGGCCTTACCCACCCTAGCCTTCCCAATGGAATACCTAGGTGGCCCAATGGGACCCCTGACCCCTATATCCTGTTCCTTTCTCCCTGCTTTGCTACTTTTCTCCTTGATAAAAGGAGAGAGTGAGAGATAATTAACAAAAAACATGGCCCCAGGACAATGAAACAACTGGCCTTGGCCGGCAAGAAATTTATCCTGGTTTTCTAGGTGAACTTTCTCCCATCAATCTTCCCTTTAACCTCCGTGTTAGTGGAAGCAATAGGAACACCCCTCCCCTCCCCTGAGCAAATGCTTTCTTTTGACTGGGAACAAAAAAGGGGCTCGGCACAGGCTGAGGTGAAATCTGGGTGGTATGGGGCGCCGCACAATGGGGCCGCTGTTCCTTGGCCGGGCTGGTGTTTTACAACAGGGGAGGGGCAGGCGTGAATGGTCTGATGATGGAAACAATCACCCCGATTCAGGCCTACAAACGCATCTTCTGTTCCACACGGAGCCGGACAGAAAAGAGAAAAGCCACAAAGAAAAGGGGCAGGGGGGGAAGAATTCGAACAAAATGCGTTAGGCTAAATATCTCTCCTATCCTCCATATCCCAGAAAGGAAACCCATGGCCGGGGCCCTCCGGATTTCTCGGCGGCCTCTGAATAGCTAGAGCTGGGCTCTGATTTATTGACGAAGCTTAAGCGACTCTCCCGGAGAAAGGCTTGGGGGTTCTTTGTCTTCGAGAGAAAGTACAATAGGCCACAAGGGCCAAGATCTCTTGGGATGCTCTCAGGCCCTGCCTTCCTCTTGCCCTCTCGTCCCTGCAAACGCCAGCAGCAGTAAAAACGATTGGTGGTGTGTCTCCAAGAGCTGGTGACAAGGCCGGGCCACTTGAGGTCTCCTTAAGAGGGTATTATGGTCGGGGAAAATATTTGTGCTGTGAAGATGGCACACTCCATTTGGCTAATGGCTCTCATCTGTGCCGCCTAATCACCCCCTGCCCGGCTGTCAGGGGCGCAGCCGTGGCCAATTCATGGCACCCTCGGAGAAAGCCCCCTTTCTGCGGCGACCAAGATGGAGACATTGTGTTCACCTACTTGAGCAGGGGGAAGGTGACCAGGAGGGCAGGCCAGGCTGTAAATTACCATTAAAACAAGAACAGACAGTGCCTGCTCTGCTCCGGGACCCCTCCAATAAATTAAGGCTGGACAGCGTGGTGGAGCCCAGGGGGGACTGGGTGCCCGAGGGTCCCTCCCCTCCGGATCTGGGAACGGCGGTGGGGGAATCAGGAGTCTGAGCCAATGCGCTGAAGCCCCCAGGAGGTTCCGTGGTTTGCCTTCAGGGAGAGGCAAGAGGGAGTCACAACCGACCAACACCTCACACTGCTGAGAAGCCACGCAGCTCAGATCCCAGGGGGGCTTCACGCCCACCTCTTCCTGCCCACCTCCATCTGCCAGCCCCCGGCCTCAGCACCACCAAACGGAGAAGAAAGGAGAGGAGAGAGGGTGGGGGAGAGAGGGAGAGAGAAAGGACAAGAAAAGAGAAAAAAAGAAAGGAAAGGAAAGGAAAGGTAGGGAAGGGAAAGGAGAGGAGAGGAGAGGAGAGGAGAGGAGAGGAGAGGAAAGGAAAGGAAAGACATTCACAGCTAAGAATGAGGGAGGAGCGAGTGATGTTTATGAAAAATGAGTTCCTATAAGAATAAATAAATAAATAAATAAATAAATGAAAAATGAGTTCCTCACCCTTGACTTGAATGAAATCTGAAGAAGTGAGCTTTAGGGCACCAGGGTGACTCAGTGACTCTTGATTTCGGCTCAGGTCACAATCTCATGGGTCCTGAGATCAAGCCCTGCTCAGCCCAGTCTGCTTGAGATTCTCTCTCTCCCTCTCCCTCTGCCCCTTCCCTACCGCTCTCTCTTTCTCTGTCTCTCATAAATAAATAAATCTTAAAAAAAAAAAAAAGTGATCGAAATACCAAATTGGTGCTAGCCATCACCCAGGAATGACATCTCCTGATCCCCGTCAGGCACTCCATAACCTGGCGCGTTATGTTGTTTACTTAAATTAACTTTCAAAGTAATAGATGTTTTTCCCAC